CAGGCCGTTTCTCTGAGCTGGGGTGAGGGGCGGGCGATGGCTGCCGGAGCCTTTGTCTGGTGCCCTCTTTCTCCCCAGTACCGCGGTGGGATGCCAGGGGACCCTAACGCTCGGTATCTTATCCCCAGGCTGTGCGGGGAAGGCACTGGGACGGGAGTCCTGTAGCACTCAGCAGGTGGTGGAGCCGCTGTCGCAGCAGTCCAGGTGGGTAAATGCCTGATTTCCGCAAGCACAGAGACACAGCGTATGCCGCAATGGCTCATGTCCTTGTAGTCCTGCCCTTGGCAGTGCGTGTCATTCAGCTCCAAGAGCGATGCTAAGAGGCAGCAGGAGGAGGTTTCCTGTTGCTTCTGACCATCGTTTCCATTTTTCAGGAAATCGGTTATGTAACAAAAGCAACTACTAACAGCATAAGAAAAATATCTTTGTTATTATGAATACATCATAAAATCACAATCATTTTATACACATTTTAGTATTTCATATATAAATAAAGTGAACAGTATAGTTATTGGAATGTGTAATAGCAACAAACATACAGATTTTTTCTGAAATTAAGAACAAATTCTTGGGCCCCATCCCCATCTTTTGTTGCTTCACTGGGATTTAACATTCTAACTCTGAAATACTGCTAGAAAAAAGGTTATTCTAGCTGTGATACCAACAATAACTCCAGGGATTACCTTACTTCCATTTATAATCAATTTTCCTTTCCTTTTCCTGTTTTAGCCTGACCATATAGAAATTCTTTTGTGCCAGTATTTCAGTTTTGCAAGAAAGACTAATCCTGTATGCACTGGGCACAGTGTTGAAATAACATTTTCCCAGCTTTAGGATTTTGTTAAACCCATGAACAATCAGCATTTTCCCATCACTACACGCTCTTGCAAATGTTTCCATTAAATATATTTCCAATATTAATAAAATAACAAACTCTTTATTATCCTTCTGCTTATAACTTGATGTCTTAACATCAAAATAATCTTTCTTTCTAATAAAATTATACATAGTATTTAACTATATGAAACAAAGTTGTCATGTGCATGAGCCTAGTAACAAAACTAGACATGAGTGTAGATGTTTCTACATTCTTATTTTGGGTTCCTAGTGGGGTTTTTTTGATATTTTTGGAGCCATAGAGTAATAAATAATTTACAAGCTAATGGCTTCCCTCTCTCCCTAGTAACCAAGCTTAAAATTGGAAATGATTAATCTGGTCTGGATTTATAAAACTTCAGATATGAAGAAGGTTTTATCTTTCTCTCTGAGTGTCTGTGTGTTTTTCTCTAGATATCATAATAAAACAGTTTCTGATACAATGTCTGTATTATGAAAGTTATCATATGGTTAATCAGAACTAAAATGAGAAAGGTCTATACAAAGATCTTGACGCAGACAGAAGGCTAAACCTTCCCAGCCACCTGTGTTCAGAGGGGCTCTCCCTGCTGGAGGAATTCCTGTGTCCTCTGAAGTGGACTTGTCTTTGCTGTAGTGTCCCCGCTGCTGGGACTCAGCCAGCTGCTGGGTGTCTATGGACAGGGGAAGGCAAAGCACAGGGACAAAACCATTCATGTCTTTTACGGAGGAAGCATGCCTGTTGGAAACCCAGCTCCAGGCTGTAAAAAATCATGATGCAGACTCTAGAAAGGGAAGTTACTGAGGTCCCCATTTAGAAGGCACTTAAATATGTGCCCAAGTTGATGTGTGCAAGTCTGTAGGACAACTTTCTGTACTTAGAGGCATGTATATTTTTTACCCTTCTGGTTCAGTGTCGAATATCCTTTCTGCGGATATTTCTGCACAGCAGGGCCTCTCCCCCCACCCCTCGAGTTTGGTGAGCAAACTGTAGAAACTTCTAATTCAGTATTTATATTTGGAAAAACAGAGCTTAGAACTAAAGTAAGTGCCTTTTTTTAGGAAACGTGTTCCTTGTGGGTAGGGGGGATAAAATTTAGTTGATATGTAGGAAGTGACTCTTTTAACTTATTAGACAGTGTCTGATAGTCCAGAAAACTGCAGTGATTAATTCTGTAGTAGAAATCAACCTGATCCAGCAGGTGATGAGGGGCAGTAACATGTGAAAGGGAGTAAACATATACATAATTTGATATTTGACAAACGTACTTAAAATTGTATATTGATGAACTGTGTCATTCATACCCAATTGCCTGCTTGAAGTTAAGAAAATAAGACGTACTGTCCTAGAGCTTCTTTCAGTCTGCTACTATGAGACCATCCCTCTTTCGGTCACAAGTTTCTCCTTAAATCTCACTGATCTTCTCATTGCCTGGTTCACAAGATTACTTGGATCTGCAGCTGCTGGCAGAGCTCCACCCAGAAGAGAAGCCCAAAGACCACAAGGGGAGAACACTATCATTTTTTCCTAAGCTGCCAGCTACCAGTGATTTAGTCATTGCTTTTTTAGTATTGATGTACGTATAAGGTGAAGAGAAGAGGAACAAAGAACATTAATATTCTTAAAGCTGATGCCCTTGCTTGTGGCATACTGATAGTGAGGAGTTGGGAAACAATTGCAGGAATGAACACATCCTCTTAAGATATTATGCAAAAGATAATAAGGGTCTAGAGAGCCAGCTGTGTATACAATATGACCTGTACTGGTGGTACAGGGATCACACCAACTATCTTCTGGCCCAGGGAACATGGAAAGGAATCCAAACCTGTACAAAGGATCTGGAAAGAGCCTGCTTATATTTTTCCCTATTTGTATGCTATTAGAACATGCAAGTCCTGAAAAACATGGCAAAATGAGAAATTTGTCTTTGCATTTGTAACATGGACAAGTCCCAGCACTATACATGCTGTAGAAGTAGCAGCTACACAGATACAACATGAAAGTTAAACATTTTGTGCTTAATATACTCCTTACATCTTTATCTTCTAAGCGTGGCAAAGTCCTCAGCAGCTCTGGTAATCCAAAAGAAATGGTAACATAAATCATCCATGAGGTATGGTCTAACTCATGCATCCAATTTTCCAGTGTTAAAAAAAAAAAAAAAAAAAAAAAAACATTCCCTTTCATCCCTTTTACAAATATGGGACCCCCTGTGTGCAGTACCTCACCTTAGCCATCCAAGTACCAGCTGAAGTGTATGCACTTCAGGCAGACTTGCACCTACTCATCCTCCTTAAATATCAAGCCAAATACACTGCAACTCTGTGTTCCAGTTCTGTGAATGCCATTTAGATTGCTCTCATATGACAGAGGAACAAAACAGACGGCAGCTCTTTGCAAACACGAGGCCTTTCTCCGATCTCAGTTTTACTTGGACCTCAGCGTTTCACCAAAGAAGGCAAGCACCCACAGGAGGTCAGAATCTGGCTCATTCTGCAAGGCTGGGATTAGTTTGGTGCTTGCCTGTAAGACTACTTGATTCACTCACTTACACAGTTTTTCCTGCTTCATAAGTTTCCTGTTCTATTTCTTATCCCTGTGTAATGTATCCAGTAGGAATCTACTGAGGAAGGGACCTGGCCCCCACACTAAGCAGCGGGAGAAGGGTAAGGGAGAAGGGGGGTAGTTTATGACAGATACATCTTCTTGACTCTCTTTGCGTGATACTCTGTAACAACAAAAAAACCAATTTCCAAGTCAAAAAGCAGTGCCTTTGTATCACTGCTTCTCCATTTTTTTGGCCTTTCTCTGCCATGATGGCATATTAGAAGGAGACGTTTCAGTTACAGCTGGCCTCTGCTGTAAGACAGGGATCCACCTTTCACACTTTCTTAAGCTTGGGTACATCAAGTGGGAACTTGAGGTCAGTGATATAATTCATTTACATGTATAAAATAACTCTGGACCTAGGCTTTCGTTTCTGCTGTCTTTCAGGGATGATGAACAGCTGCCTCTCTGTCCCTGGCAAGAATCTGGGTAGCGCGTCGTTTGGACACAGAATCAAAAGTAAGCATATAAGATGGTGGCGTCTGCGCCATTAGCTACAGCATGCTTTAATCATGCTAGCCCTATATGCCAGAAAGGTTTTCCTCATATTCTAGATACAGTGCAGATTGTAGGTTTGATGATATGGAATTCCTGCAAGGAGGCCACCGTGAATTGGGAAAGCTGCAGCATGGGCAGCATGGTTGGGGAAAACCAAAGAGAAAACTGGGGAAATAATATATATATATTTTTACATTGTCAGTGCATTTTTATATTGAACAACTCTAAGGGGCTCTTTTTCAGTAGGCCTAGCTAAGGATGGGCTGCTGCCTTATGTATTCTGGAGTCTCTGGGTGCTGCCCGTGGTTTGTAGTCTTCTCCGGATCCAAAATCTACCGTGTCGTGATAGTTTGTAAATTCCTGAGGTAATGGAAACTCCTCTGTTGATGAGTGAGTCCTGTGTCCAAACACTCTCTCTTGCAGCTCAGCAATGTCATTTCTGATGTCTGCCATCATCAGCAGCAGGAAGTCAAATGAACCTGGTGGGCCCTGCAGTCACAAAGCAGGGTCATTAGTAATATTGTACTTAACTCATAGTTTTCAAAAATGTTGATATAAATACCCTTGCAGGGGTAATTCAGTAAAAAACTGCTTCGTATTAGTTGCCTGAAATAAAAGGTCTGTCCTTGAATCAACCTGCTCACGAAGCATTCTTCGTGAAAAGGCAAAGGTTTTATCAGACAGAACCTACATCTAGAAGATGCTTAACTCTTTTGTTACTAAACAATTCTTTCACTGTATCTTTTCCCTAGCAGCATTTCAGCACCCCACAGGAACAGAGGAGATAAATCTTGTTTCCCTCCTGTTCTTTCTTATTAAACTGAGAGAATTTACATTCTTATTATTAATAATTACTAGTATTTATTTTTTTTTAAAATCTCTAGGGAAAGCTGATACTTGGAAGCTGTCTTTTAAATACAGTGACCCAATGCTGTCCATCACATACTAAATATGTTGGCAATTACAATGTAGAGAGTATGCATCTGTTTTTATCTGATTTTAGAAAATTATTTCTTTTTAGCTGACTTCACAGTGAAGCACACTGTTTAATACCGAGAACCTCATGTTGCACATCCTGCTAAAGATCCATCCCATCAATGAGAAAAGACTGTAAGAAGGAAAATTTTAAACAATTTCACTTGAAAATAGATTGTAAATTTCCATCCTTTTCCAGCTGACTTGCTCAAAGCCAATATCTTGCCAAAGTCCCAGAGAGAGACTAGGGATAGGTTTTTGAAAGGTTTCAGGGATCAGACTACCAGCAGCAGCGTTGGGTGAGCAGTACGAACTAGCGCTGTGCACAGGATCTCATGCCACTGCCTTCTGACTGTGTCCCACCCACTGTTGTAGGGCAGAGACACACTTAATGCCTTTGATGTAACACCCTGCAAGGGAGGAGGCGTGTAGGCAAAAAGCTTTGAGGAAAACAGGACGTTATTTTCTTTGAAATAACTTTTTCTGTTCATGTAAAATGTCATTCGCTGGGCTCTCAAAACAGGAGGTTTTTTTTCCCTTTTGGCTGGTCTGTGGTTAGTAGCCAACATCACTTTGCTGTGAAAATGCTTGCTAAGAGCAATACTTACAGGTATCCCTTTTGGTCCTGGTGCTCCTCGCTCCCCCTGTAATCAATATCACCTCAGTTAGTTTGCTGTGACTAAAGGAAACAGAAAAAGCACGGTTTGCCTCAGCAGACACTCTTACTGTCCCCACGCCAAGAGTCATCAGTTTACACTAAATTTACTTGCTAAGAAAAAGAAGACCTTCAAAGTAGCCCCTAGGCTCTCAGAGGTTGACAGACCTCACACTGAGCGCCACTGGTCTGAAGTGCATTTAGGGGAATGAGCAGGTGGTTATGAGAGTGAGGATTTGCATGGCCACTTCTCTTTGTAAGCGGTGTCTCGACTCCCTTTTCTTTTCTTCCCAGCTGCAGTTCCGAGGCATTTTCAAGTACCCTTCACACCTGAAACCCCTGTCCTGCCAATTTTCAGTGCCCAGGTTTATGGGCACTGCAAAGCTTATGCCTTGGCCAAGCTCTGACTGCCCTCATCCATGTCCTGTGAGACTTGCTCATGTTCATCTGCCCTAAATAGATAACAGATGCTTCTTTGAACAGAAACAGAGAGAGAGAGAATCAGAACTTCTGCTCTCTGTACTTCACAGCCCTGGGGAGATAAAGAAGTATCTTCATGGACAAAATAAGTTTGTTTGGTGTTTTTCTGGTAACGTACATCTGGCTTCCTGCATGTATTTTCTTTGCTAGCAGGATTTAAGACTTGTCCCAACATCATCAGTAGTGTCTGCAGCAATAAAGTTATTATAATAAATAACCCTGATACAATTACATGCTGCATTACACCTGCTGGGAAAACGCTAAATAAACGTGCAATGTTGAGATTTTGCAGCCCTGCTCTGGTGGGCCATTGTGAGGGTAATGGGTGAGCATCCAAAAAGAAGAAAAAGTGAAGTGGGAACAAATATACTGGGAGGAACATAAGAAAGTGCCACTGGCTCTAGTGGGAGCAGAGCTGGGCACTTCTGATTTTCACATAGACAGTAACAAGCCACAGGTAGTAGCAGAAATTTGCAAGAGAGCAGTCTAATGAAATAGGCTAAGACATCAAATTCTTCATGGAAAAGCCAAAAGAGCTGTGGAGAAAGCAAAGGAGGCTGATGGACAGATATTCTGGCAGGGCTATTTGCAAGACTTGAGGGATGGGAAGCATGAAATAGCAGAAGGAAGATATGAAGGGATGGGGGCAACACGACGTTTTCAGCATAGCAAAGGAAATGAAAGAGGGTAAAAGGGGATGATGGCAAATATGTAGAGGGTCTCTCTAGTGAGCCTGCGTTTCGCGTTCACATGTGCCCACATTGTGGAAAACAGTACCTCTCCTCACCTTGCTACCATCTCTCCCTGGGGCTCCCGGTGGGCCCTGCAAGAGAAAGACGTGTTCACAGGAATGTAACAGACTATGGAGCTAAGCCCAAATGTGCAATGCGTAACAGGAAGGGTGAATACTGACCACAGGGCCCCGTCTGCCCTGCTTAATATGCGATATGTCTGGAGATGGTCCCATAGGTCCCATTGATCCCCGAGGGCCTGGCTGTCCAGGAGGCCCAGGAGGCCCAGGAACTCCTTGACTCCCTTTTGGTCCTGGAGCCCCTGAAATCAACAGCAAAGGTTACCTGTCAGATAAAGCATTCAGGGCACTTCATCAGTACAAGCAGAGGGGACTAACAGCTTTTTTGAACCACCTGATGGACTGGTCGCCTTAACATTCCCAAACCACAAATCCATAACAACACAACCAACACAGTAGTCATTTGAGACAACATTACTCCCTGCCACAGTGGCTACATGAGATCTGCACAAGACAATTAAACCTGGTGTAATGAAGAAGCCAAATCTGCCACTGCAGTAGTGGTTAGGGACGCAGACTGGGAATGAAAAGAAAAGCAGAAATGCCTTATTTTCACACAAAGAAGAAGGGAGCAAAAGTACACATCTCATGTGAGAAACACCTCTTGTAAAGAGAAAGTCTCAGACAATTTGTGGAAAAGTTGGGTCAAAGACATTTACACATGACTGGCACAGAAGCAGTGTTTTTTGGTCATGGCCTACGGCTCTCTTTTGCCCCGTACAGCAGCCAGTGTGTCAGACAAGAAGGGCTCCGTTCTTCCATTTTACGTCATACCATTTTCAGCTTCTGTTGGGTCATCAGAGAATGCTATTTTTAGGAAGCACTCAGCCAGCAAAGTATACATTTAAATCAAGAGAAACTCTCTGAAAAGCAAAACAGAAAATCAGGCACCTGAAACAATATTTGCACAAAACAAAATCCATTAAGGTGCCATTAGCTGAGTTGCTTTGTAAAGAGGAGAAAGCATTTTTCTTCATATGGAAGACCTGTGGAGGACCCCAGAAAGGAAAGGCAGAGAGTGAAGAT